CTCCTCTTGGCATGATTTTAGGAAGGAAATAGAGGGGAGTGAGGAGAAGACTAAATGATCAGCCCATTCTTTTCAAAGAATGTGAATTCTTTTCAAATAATTGCCTTGTGGAGCACCAGGTGACTACAGAGTACAACGTGAGGCTCTTTGTCCAGAGTACTCCTGGTGGGCATGGGAAGAAAGTGCCAGCTTGAGAGAGCTTCCATATCTGAGATGAAAGAGGAAGAGGCAGCCACAAGGGTGGTGGGAGGCTGAGTAGAGAAAACATAAAGAGACAAAAAGAGCATGCTTCAGTCTCCATCCAGGCTCAGGAGCAAGGAAGGAGAGTAGAAAATTCATGGGAGTTCCTATTACAGTTACTTCAAGCAGCCATAGCAATACCTAAAGCCTTATGGCTGTTATCTTCCCCATCTGTCACTCCCTGTGGCCTCTTCAGGTTCAATTTGTTTAAATGGGAAGTGGATGGAGCTTTGTTTGCAGCACAAGTGTTTGCTGCAGAGCATCCTAGACTGCTTTTGGGGCAATTTAGAGGACGAAATGTTTGCCTCCTGGTCACTCACTGCCAGGAAATGGCTGATCCAGCACTAGTGGTTGCTGTCAAAAATCATGCCAATAAAACAGAGGAGCAAAGTAAGTGGTTGAAAACAGAGACAGGCCCAAGCAAGCAGCTGGATCTATCTGTCATGTGAAGCCTCCATCACTGCAGTGGGACTATGCAGGTGCCAGATGCTAAGCAAAGCCCTCTGCCCATAAAACACAGGCCTGCAGATGCGTTTTCCACCAGCTCCAAATGATTGGCCTGCTTCAGGTTTTCTTCCTATCTAAGTCTCTGAATTAGCCTCTTCACAGGTAGCAGAAGGACATTTCTTTGCTTAGAAACCTGTAGCTCTAATTGGCTCAGTCGATAATTCCTTTCTTTGCAGGCTTGCAGCAGTTGCAATCACAGCAGGTCTGTGCACAGGTTTTCTGTGCACTGAGGGACAGGCAGGTGAAGGGTCTGGCTCTCAGTTCTCCTGGTTTGTCATTTTTATCAGGTTGCGTCCTCCCCCTTGGTCATTACAGGACAAGAAAGGCATTTTACTTTATTTTCTCAACCTTTAGCTTGTCCATCATTCCATGAGCAGGCTGCAGCATGGGAAGAGGAGAGATAAACTGTGGGGGGAGGGCTGGTTCAGGCCATTAGAGCCTCTGCAGTAAGGAAAGATGGAAGGTATGGGTGCATTCGAGGGGCATGTGAGAAGGTCAGGAAGAGGGGAGTGATGACAGGGCTGTGAGTCCAGGGAAAACAGAGCTGCAAAGTTTACACAGTGACCCACGGGAGAAGGCTGTGGGCAACCGCCTGTTTTGCTTAATAGTGAGCTCTGAAAGGGGGTAGGAGACATCCAAGCACGGCGTGGACAGGGGAAGAAGAGGGAGTCTCCTGCGGGCGGTGTGAGAAGGGCAGACAGAAGATCCCATGGGGTATTTGGGGTACGGCTGCTGCCAGATGTGCCCGCAGAGGAAATCACCAGGTCCGTCCATGTACAGCATGCGGAATGGGAAGCTAAAAATAAGCGCTCCATCCTGTGGGACAGCCGTTCTTGGAAAAAATAAACCCGGCAGCGCTGGCAGCCCGCAGGGGCAAAGCACACGCACACTCTGGGGACACCTCTCCAAGGGCGGACACCCCCAGAGTCCCCTTGGGGGCAGAACAACGCGTTCCTTTCCCTCCCCCCGGCCAGACCCCGCATCCCCACCCGCGTCCGCCGAGCCGTGGAGCAGGAGCGCCGCCCGCAGGGACGCGCCGGGATAACAACCCGCAGCGGGAGACAAAACCCGCACCCCCAAAAACGCCCCTCCCAAAACCCTACCCCCAAAACCCCCAGCCCCAAAACCCTCAGGCCCAAAAACGCCCACCCCCAAAACCCCCACCTCTAAAACCCCCATCCCCAAAACCCTACCCCCAAAAAGTCCACTCCCAAAAACCCCCATCCCCAAAAACCCTCACCCCCCAAAACCCCCAGCCCTAAAACCCTCATCCCCAGAAACGCCCACCCCCAAAACCCCCACCTCTAAAACCCCCATCCCCAAAACCCTACCCCCAAAAAGTCCACTCCCAAAAACCCTCACCCCCCAAAACCCCCAGCCCTAAAACCCCCATCCCCAAAACCCTACCCCCAAAAACGCCCAACCCCAAAACCTGACCCCCAAAAGCACCCACCCCCAAAAACCCCACCCCTAAAACCCCCAGCCCTAAAACCCTCACCCTCAATATCCTACCCTCCAAAACCCTACCCCCAAAAATGCCCACTCCCTAAAAACCTCCAGCCCCAAAATGCCCCACCCCAAAACCCAATCCTCAAAAGCGCCCACCTCTAAAACCCCCATCCCCAAAACCCTACCCCCAAAAAGTCCACTCCCAAAAACCCCATCCCCAAAAACCCTCACCCCCCAAAACCCCCAGCCCTAAAACCCTCATCCCCAAAACCCTACCTCCAAAAACGCCCAACCCCAAAACCTGACCCCCAAAAGCACCCACCCCCAAAAACCCCACCCCTAAAACCCCCAGCCCCAAAACCCTACCCCCAAAACTGTCCACCCCCAAAATCCTACCCCAAAAAACGCCCACCCCTAAAACCCCCAGCCCTAAAACCCTCATCCCCAATATCCTACCCTCCAAAACCCTACGCCCCAAAATGCCCACTCCCTAAAAACCTCCACTCCCAAAATGCCCCGCCCCAAAACCCTATCCTCAAAAGCGCCCACCCCCAAAACGCCCAGCCCCAAAACACTACTCCCAAAAATGCCCAGCCCCCAAAAACGCCCACCCCCAAAAACGCCTACCCCTAAAACCCCCAGCCCCAAAAACGCCCACCCCAGAAAACTCTACCCCAAAAAATGCCCACCGCAAAAACCCCCAGCCCTAAAACCTCCAGACCCAAAACCCTCACCGCCAAAACCCTGCCCCAAAAAACACCGCCAAAACCGCCCACCCCTAAAACCCCCAGACCTAAAACCCTCACCCTCAATATCCTACCCTCCAAAACCCTACGCCCCAAAATGCCCACTCCCTAAAAACCTCCAGACCCAAAATGCCCCGCCCCAAAACCTTATCCTCAAAAGCTCCCAGCCCCAAAACGCCCAGCCCCAAAACACTATTCCCAAAACCACCCAGCCCCCAAAAACGTCCAACCCTAAAACCCCCAGCCCCAAAAACGCCCACCCCTAAAACCCCCAGCCCCAAAACCCTACCCCCAAAACTGTCCACCCCCAAAATCCTACCCCAAAAAACGCCCACCCCCAAAATGCCCACCCCTAAAACCCCCAGCCCTAAAACCCTCACCCCCAATATCCTACCCTCCAAAACCCTACGCCCCAAAATGCCCACTCCCTAAAAACCTCCACTCCCAAAATGCCCTGCCCCAAAACCCAATCCTCAAAAGCGCCCACCCCCAAAATGCCCAGCCCCAAAGCACTACTCCCAAAAATGCCCAGCCCCCAAAAACGCCCAGCCCCCAAAAATGCCCACCCCCAAAAACACCCACCCCTAAAGCCCCCAGCCCCAAAAATGTCCACCCCAGAAAACCCTATCCCCCAAAACGCCCACCCCTAAAAACCCCAGCCCAAAAACCCTACCCCCAAAACTGTCCACCCCCCAAAATCCTACCCAAAAAAACGCCCACCCCAAAAACCCCACCCCTAAAACCTCCAGACCCAAAACCCTGACCCCCAAAAGCCTACCCCGAAAAACACCCCCAAAACCGCCCACCCCTAAAACCCCCAGCCCTAAATCCTCACCCCCAAAACCCTACCCCCAAAAACGCCCAACCCCAAAACCTGACCCCCAAAAGCACCCACCCCCAAAAACCCTCACCCCCCAAAACCCCCAGCCCTAAAACCCTCACCCCCAATATCCTACCCTCCAAAACCCTACGCCCCAAAAATGCCCACTCCCTAAAAACCTCCACTCCCAAAATGCCCCGCCCCAAAACCCTATCCTCAAAAGCTCCCACCCCCAAAACGCCCAGCCCCAAAGCACTACTCCCAAAAACGCCCAGCCCCCAAAAACGCCCACCCACAAAAACGCCCACCCACAAAAACGCCCACCCCAGAAAACCCTACCCCAAAAAATGCCCACCGCAAAAACCCCACCCCTAAAACCTCCAGACCCAAAACCCTCACCGCCAAAACCCTGCCCCAAAAAACACCGCCAAAACCGCCCACCCCTAAAACCCCCAGCCCTAAAACCCTCACCCCCAATATCCTACCCTCCAAAACCCTACCCCCAAAATGCCCACTCTCTAAAAACCTCCAGCCCCAAAATGCCCTGCCCCAAAACCCTATCCTCAAAAGCGCCCACCCCCAAAATGCCCAGCCCCAAAACACTATTCCCAAAAACGCCCACCCCCAAAAACACCCAGCCCCCAAAAACGTCCACCCCCAAAAACACCCACCCCTAAAACCCCCAGCCCCAAAAATGCCCACCCCAGAAAACCCTACCCCAAAGAATGCCCACCGCAAAAACCCCACCCCTAAAACCTCCAGACCCAAAACCCTCACCGCCAAAACCCTGCCCCAAAAAACACCGCCAAAACCGCCCACCCCTAAAACCCCCAGCCCTAAAACCCTCACCCTCAATATCCTACCCTCCAAAACCCTACCCCCAAAATGCCCACTCCCTAAAAACCTCCACTCCCAAAATGCCCCGCCCCAAAACCCAATCCTCAAAAGCGCCCAGCCCCAAAACGCCCACCCCCAAAAACGCCCCGCCCCCAAAAATGCCCAACCCTAAAACCCCCAGCCCCAAAAATGCCTACCCCACAAAACCCTACCCCCAAAAACGCCCACCCCTAAAACCTCCAGCCCCAAAACCCTCACCCCCAAAACCCTACCCCGAAAAACACCCCCAAAACCGCCCACCCCTAAAAACGCCCACCCACAAAACCCCCAACCTGTCCCCCTCTCCTCCCCCACCAGAACTCTTGGATATTTAATACACTAACTTTTTTCCCTATTTTTTAGCAATGAAATCTTCTCTGCAATAGGGAACAGGCTGGATGTCTCTTCCAGCTCTTTTGCACACCTTGGGAACAGGAAGAAAGGGTCAAAAGTATCCCTACACTTAAAATAAAAGGGACTGACAGACCCCCACATTCCCAAGTGCGGTCCAGTCTAGAGGCACTGAAACCAGCAAGCAAAACAACCTAACTTGCATGGGGCTGTATCATTAAAAGGCCATAAATCCACGTTAGCAAATACCCTAAGCAGAGATCACAGCAAATCCATCACATTTGCACTCTGCCAGGAGGGACTGCCTTGGTGGACGGGTGAGAAGCACTCGAGACAAGGCTCCTGTGTTCGTCATTATTTTCAGAATGTCTTTGCCTCTCTCTCTGACTATTTTCCATCAACAAACAATTACACTGTGTAATTGATGCCTAAAGTCATACGTGTTAAACCTGCCCTGTCAAGGGACTCAGGAGATCCTAAGCCCAGTCAGAAAGCAAACAAACATTGTTTCATCTCCATGGATGTGAAATGAACCTTTTACTTTCTCCAGGTTTGGAGATGCTGAATTCAGCATCAAGATTTCTGTTTCAGGTTGCAGGAAAGAGGGATGCAGTCTGTCAGAGTAAAAGTGACCAGAGTTTTAGAGAACCTTATTTATCTGTAGGAAAAAGGGTTTGCATAGAAATGGTTGAGCAAAGGCAGGGCAGAAACTCAAGAGTTCTTAAGGCTGGAAAAGGTCATCAAGTCCAAACTAACTGAGCAGCACCCTGTCAACCAGACCATGGCAGTAATTGCCACATCCAGTCATTTCGTGAACACCTCCAGGGATGGTGATGCCACCACCTCCCTAGGCAGTCCGTTCCAATGCTTGACCACGCTTTCAGTGAAGAAATTCTTCCTGATGTCCACACCTTGAGCCTACCTATGTCCTCTTGTCCTGTCGCTGTTGCCTGTGGGAAGAGCCCGACCTCCATCTGGCTGCGCCCTCCTGTCAGGGAATTGTAGAAAGTGAAAAGGTCTGCCCTGAGCCTCTCTTCCAGCCCCAGCTCCCTCAGCTACTCCTCACAGAACCCCAGACCCTTCACTGTCGGAATCTGAGGGTATTGGTGATTCTGAGATTGTAGAAAGTCTCTGTCTTTCTGCCCTGTTGCCAAAGAAGAAGCCATAATTAGTCTGTGCTGTTTTCAAGGTTGATTATTTTTGCTTATCTATAACATGTTCTGCTGCCCTGCCGCAGCTCTGTCCTGCAGGGCAGCGTGTGGGGCTCTGCCCTCAGTGGGATGTTACAAACATTATATACCAGAAATTACGTGTACTATATTTACAATAATGTGCCAATATCTATCATCTACGTTGAACAGTGTGTCCCCAGCCTAAACCAATAGAAAAATGCCAACATCACCAAGGACATGGAGGTAAGGAAGAAGAAGGAGGAAGAACAGGATCAGGCCCACTTTCCTCCATCTTAGAACTCCTGACCCCCATGTACAAAGTAAAAACCCCCCTGTACAGGTACTAAAACCCCCTTGTACAATACTAAAAATTTTTTCCCTCTAATTTGTGACTACTTTTACTATACCATCTAACTCTCTGTGACCACTTGTTCCACCTTCAAAGTTGGTAATTCATTCCATGATTCAAACTCAAGATCACAGCTGTTTTCAGCTGCTTGCCAGGGTCTAAAATGCTTTTGACCAAGGCCTGGAACCTCTGAAAATGTCTGAGGGACATTTTGAGTTCCGACACTTCACCAGCTTCGCTGCCCTTCTCCGAACTTGCTCCACACCTCAATTTCTTGTCGGGAGGGGCGCAGAGCCGAGTGCCCAGGGACACTCCGTGCCCGGCCGGCTGGCAGGGGTGACAAACTGCGGTGCAATCCCTGGGCAGGAACCAGGCGGGCCAAAACCAGGCTGTGCCCGGCCCACGCCTTCCTCCTCAGGAGTCCCGGGCCCCGCAGCCCCGCTCAGCCCGGAGCAGGGCAGCGCCCTTCCCTCAGAGCCCCTTGCGGGCCAGCAGGACTCCGGCCGCGGGCAGCTGCAGCCTGAGGGCGGCGGCGTGCCCGGGCGGATGGGAGGTGTAGTCCGGGAGGAGCGGCGCTGTGCCGGGGCGTGTTGGAGCTGTAGTCCGGGAGCGGAGCTGTGCCGGGACGGATGGGAGCTGTAGTCCGGGAGGAGCGGCGCTGTGCCCGGCCGGATGGGAGCTGTAGTCCGGGAGGAGCGGCGCTGTGCCCGGGCGGATGGGAGCTGTAGTCCGGGAGGAGCGGCGCTCTGCCCGGGCGGATGGGAGGTGTAGTCCGGGAGGAGCGGCGCTGTCCCCGGGCGGATGGGAGGTGTAGTCCGGGAGGAGCGGCGCTGTCCCCGGGGCGGATGGCGCTGCGCGGCTCGCTGAGGGCCGGCCGGGCGCTGCTGCGGCGGCCGCCGTCCCGCGGGCTCTGCAGCCGGGTGCGTGCGCGGAGGGGCGCGGGGCGGGCTCCGGGCGGGCGGGGAGGCTCCGGGCTGACCGTGCCCTCCGCTCGCCTTGCAGCCGCCGGCCTTCGGGTTCCTGTTCGATGTGGACGGCGTGCTGGTGCGGGGCAGCCAGCCCGTGCCCGCAGCCCGCCGCGCCTTCCAGAGGCTGGCGGATAGCAGCGGGCGGCTGCGGGTGCCCGTCGTGTTCCTGACCAACGCCGGGAACTGCCTGCGCTCGGCCAAGGCCCGAGAGCTGTCCCAGGCGCTGGGGCTGCAGGTAACGCTGGCGGGGCGGCGGCAGGAGGGACCCGAGCCACCCCTCACGAGTGCCCGGCCCGGCCCCGGCCCCCGGGGCTGCGATGCCGCCCGACCGCCGGGAGAAGGGGGCGAAATCCACCCAGCCGGCCTCTCCTCCGTCCCGCAGGTGTCTCCGGAGCAGGTGGTGCTGTCCCACAGCCCCCTGCAGCTCTTCAGCCAGTTCCACCAGAGGTGCATGCTGGTGGCCGGGCAGGGGCCCCTGGAGGAGAACGCCCACGAGTATCCTTTGCGCCTCGTGGTGCTCTGTGCTGCTGCTGCTCCTGCCCTAGCCCTAGCCCTGGCACTCGCTTGCTCAGCTCCTGAAGCACAAGGAGACACAAAGGTCATTTGGCTTACCTTATGGGGCAGCGTCCTTATGGACAGGCTCAGGTGCTGTTGGTCTCCGTGTTGGTCACTTCCTGGCTCCCCTGTTTGGTGTTTGGCTTCTCACGCTTATGACTTCTCTGTTCTGTTGGTGGGATGTGACCATGAGGACTCATCTGCTTCAGGTGTCTCATTTTTGAGATAAAGCTGTGCTTCTCCCATTCTTTCAGGGAAAAGCCCATTAGAGATCACTCCCAGCTGTCCCAGCGATAAGGTTTTCTCCAGAATCTGACAGCAGCTGAAGGAACTCAAATATGATGGGGCTTTCAGCAGTTTGGTCTAGTGGAAGGGTTCCTTGTCTGTCTGAAAACCATGAGGTTATGCTTTAACTGCTATGTTACTAGGACTCACATTCCTTAATCCTATAGATGCTTCTGCAAGTAACTTAAAGAAAATATGTCACTTAAAAAAAACCCCAAACAAACCAGTCTCCACAACATTCCTTGATGGTCTGAACTAGCCTGGGGTTCAAGCATGTGGTCACCATAGAGGCCCTGAGGAAGGCATATCCCCTGTTAGACATGGTGGACCTGAGCCGGAGGCCGAAAGAACTGGTAATTTCCTGAAATATCAGCAGAAGGGGTGTTCTGCTGCAGAGGTGGTCACAGCATACATCAAAGGGACAGGGCAGCTGCCAGTGAGGTCCCTTAGCAGGAGCCTGGCACTGACCCTGAGCAAGCAGCCCCTCTGCTCTTCCCAGTGTTGGCTCCTGCAGAAAGGGCAGCGACTCTCCCTTCTCCTTTCTCATGCCACGCCTGCCTTCCATTGCTGTTCCTTGCTGTGAGGGGTAAGGTGGTTTGGTTGACATCTCCAGCTCTGAGACAGGAGTACAAGATCTGTGAAATCCCATCTGGGATGGGGGAGGGGAAAAAATATTCCTTCAGGGATCCAGGTGGCTTTGTCCTGCCTTGTTATGGAACTGCCTTGGCAGTTCAAGGGAGGCGTTTTTAGTTTTATTTTGGAGATGGCATTAGGTTTTGCATTACTAATCCAGCCTTCCTTTTCTTCTGTCAGCCTCCTCCCACCACTGGCTTCCCCACTATAGAAGGTAAGCAGTGGCCTGTGTTTACATATGAGCAGCCAGCAGAGCTAAGAGCAGGGCAGGCCAGCTGGGATGGGAGCTAATGATGTGCTGTCAGCTCCCTGCTATCCATGGGCAGCATATTCAGAGGGTGCAGCCAGGAGGCAGCCTCGCTGCTGGAAAAAAGCTGGATAAAAGCAACTTTTCCCTGTGCCATGTGCCAATATCTGGAACCAGTGGTGCCCATGGTGCAGTGATGTGCAGACTGAAGCCTTGGCACTAGCCATGTTCCAGTGGTAGCTGTGCTTGCCAGGGCAGCCCAGCACAAGAGGGGTTTTGTTAGTGGGTGGCTTTTAGATGCTGTGAGTTTCCAAACAGTTTCCTCCAAATCTTGCAGGGGTGATTCTGTTTGGTGAGCCAGTGAGGTGGGAGACAAGCCTGCAACTCATTGCTGATGTACTCCTGAGCAATGGGAACCCTGGGGCAGAGCTGCAGGATGTACCATACCCTCATCTGCCTATCCTTGCCTGCAACATGGACCTCCTGTGGATGGCTGAAGCCAAGATGCCCAGGTGAAAAGCGCGTGTGGTGTTTGGTTTAGCCAATTTCATGCTCCTCTCATGCACATCATCTTTTCCTACTGTGTTTTTTCAGCATTTGAATGTTTTAAGAGCAGAGACGTGAAAGCTGCATGAGAAAAAAAGGCTAAAACCTGGGGGGCAGCAAAAGCCAGACCACTGTCTGTGGAAGTGTGTGTGGGCACCGTGTCCAAAACAGGCAGTAACCAAGGAGTGCTTGCTGCTCCACTGGTGTTTCTGGGGATGCTGATGACCTCCTTTCTGGGGCAGGTTCGGCCATGGCACTTTCCTTCTCTGCTTGGAGAGCATTTACAAGAAGGTGACAGGCAGGGAGCTGAAGTATGAGGCCTTGATTGGCAAACCCAGCCCAGTCACCTACCGCTATGCCCGATACTTGATCCAACAGCAGGCAGAGAAGCAGGGCTGGAAGGCTCCCATCCGACGCCTCTATGCAGTTGGGTAAGAGACTTTCTTTTTCCTGCTGGTTTCCTTGGAGAGTTGCAAGCTGATTTCTCTTTAGTGGTGGTGGTTTTTGTTTTTTTTTTTTTTGCTTACTTGCTTGGTTTTATTCCCCTCTGGATATTTCTAAAGTTAATACCAAAATTCCGATGGTGTTTCTGGAGCCTCACATCCTGGAACAGAGGCTTGCTAGCTTTTTGTACCCTACACAGCAAAGCTGTGGGCTGCAGGATGCAGAGTGCACATAGGATGACTCAATTAAAGACACAATTAAGAGACCCAGATGTAGTATTGTCAGCTCAGTTTGGCCAAACACTTCGGCAATGTGGGAGTTATAATCCAGTGGTGGCTGAAACTGCTCTGGGTGCTTGGGATGTGCTGTCTCCCCTTTGAAAGGTGCACATGTCCTGAGCAGGACTCACTGGTGGGTAGACTCAGTGGCCCACTCCAGCTGCTCCTCATGATGTTAGCAACTATCTCACATGCCTTCCTCCTTCAGTGCTGTCTTAATCTCAGTCCCCCAAAGCCAGAGGGCGTGTTTCTCATTTCTGAGCCCATTCTCATGGGCTTGTTTCTCCTTTCTGTTTCACACTGTGACCTTATCCAGGGATAACCCTATGTCTGACGTCTATGGGGCAAACCTCTACAACAACTACCTCAAGTCAGCTCAGCAGAGCCAGGTCCAGGCTGGGCTGAAGAGGAGCCCACAGGCAGCCAGTCCCCAGGCTGAGGTTTCCCTGGAGCTGAGGAATGACTGCAACAGTTCAGTGGAGAGCTGCGAGTCGATTCTGGTCTGCACTGGGGTCTACCGCCACAACGGCGACGTTCCCAAGGAAACAGTGGAGACAGTGTTCCACGGACATCGGGACTTCTCCTTCGACCCCAGCCTGGTGGAGGCATCTTACGTAGTGCAGGATGTGGATGATGCTGTGCAACTTGCTTTTAAAAAAGAAAAC